TCAGAGCTTGAATGCAAAACCGAACTTCTGCTTCCGTTGGAGGATCGCATGACACTGCCCACGGAATCTCAGTCGAAAATGAAGCAGCCTGGTTAGCACTAGGCCAGCAGTATATGAATGACCTGACAAAGCTTACCGGATACGCATGCCTGACGAACGGCAAGGACGGCGAAACCGATCGTGTGCTTCCAAGGAAATTTTGTCCAGTCATTCACGTACTACTTAATATGATATATACATCCATTTAGCACTCTTTTTACCGGTACACCACTTCTCTCCTTGCTGCCACCACAAGCCTCAGTATGGTCGGGGGTGGATGTCTTGGGTTGTGGCTGGTCATCCTTCCCTTGCATCTCGCAAAATGCTTCCATACGACCAAGCAACTCAAATAGCCTCTGCTGAGGAAGCCCTACTCACTGCCTTCTCGCGGCGGTGTTTTCCCACTACCAAAGTGAAACGAAAAGCCGACATTAGGGGCTATAACCGGGTTGCTGAAACCCTGGCAGTTCACCTAGGAAGTTGGCTAAAATCCCTGACTCCAAACCAACCAAAAAGTGGTATTGGTCACCGGCTTGATTGGGCGTCCAGGTGTATTGGGCACTTTGGGCGTCCAAACAGCGTATGATCCGATGAACTGAACATCGTTCCACGCAGTGCCCCGCTGCCTTGTCAGGCTTTAGTTAACCGAAGGCCCCAGTTGTTAACTTGCTAAGAAAGCTCACCTGGCCGTATTCCACCCACAAATAATTCATGAGCCTTTTTTCTTTTCATGAAAATCATTGTACCGTGATTTGTTTGGCCTCATACGTGTGTGAAATACAAATCTCTCCTTGTTTATTTGCCGAAGTAACTTTTCCGGGGTAAAGGGGGTTAGGCACACAAAGTCAGGCATCGATCAACTGGCCGTGTAAGATAGCTTTGTTTGACCTGTATCCACTGGCTTTTCAGGAGTAATTGGATCTCCATTTAGGAAGCCATCTCACATACCTCTCATGGTCACGGAAGCAGTCAAAGCATCGCACCACGTTGAAGTGTAGTCATCCTGACTGGCTTCATCAACAGAAGATTATCATACCTGGGCTATGCAAATCGTTTTAGATACCCAACCCTGTTATGGTTTTTGGTATTTTATGCACTTTTTGTTGCTCATATCCTGTTCTCTGAACTTATGTGGCTTCCGAAAGCAAAATAATTTGCTTGGGATAAATCATTCCAATCGAATTTATTAGTGAGATAAGCTTCTCCTTTCTATTCCTCATTTTCCTTTTTATTCCAGGTATTGTGAGGATTATTCATACTCCCCCTCCGACGGACATTGCTTACTTTACCTGTCTTTGTTAACCCAAAGCAAATCATAAAAATGACTCGAAGTGAACAAAGTACTGTGATTCGAATTGCACCGTATCACTACGTTCACGTGTTAAACTTGAACACCAATGTGACGCGCCTTGTTCTTGGTCCGCGCACCTTTGTGTGCATGCAGGACGAAAAGTGAGTCATATTTTGCCCCTCAGTCTTATTTTGCAGAGTTGTCGTTGGTCCTGAAAAAATGATTAGCATATCTCCAACACAGTATTGTGTGATAGCCAATCCGGTTGTAAAAGGACCCTCTGGTGAACCTATCCTGGATCCTAGTGGCCAAGTAAAACTAAAAGTTGGCGATAAAATGTATCGCTTTCATCAAGAACCTTTCCCATTATACCCCGGTGAAAAACTCGAGGGTGATGTGGAGACGTTGCCGATTGTATCACCAAATACGGCTTTGAGGCTGAGGGCTCTGTTGGACTTCACGGATACGGATGGACAAGAACGCACAGTCGGTGAAGAGTGGCTTTTTGAGGGTCCTGGTGAGCATTTTTGTCATCTTTTTCCCCAGTGTTCATTTTACAAGCTTTTTTTACCAGTCGAGTCACATCAGAAACACTTGTCCCACGATGACAAACGTCATCTTTCTTCACTTTAATTGCGATTTATGTGCACGAGTTAGCCATGCACAAGAAATATCAATTCCGGTTCAGTACCGCGCCTAACCTAGCGGGACCTTATGTGGTTCACCACGCCAAGTCCTTGGGGCTTATGTTACCGGTTCCATTACTGAACAACAAGTCATTGTGATTATGAGGTCTGCCGCTCATCACACAAATGTTTGTAACAAAAAGGTGATGAGGGTTGACAGCGGTCTTGTTCGTCTTCCTGTTTTCAAGCAGCTCGCCTAGTTGCATGATAACTCAATGTATA